GTCATTGTTGTTTGGCAGGCCTGGGCTGGATTCGAACCTGCCACCTTAGGTGTATGTGGCTGGCACCTTAGCCACTTAAGCCTCAGGCACCAAGCCAGTTCAGTGGTTTTCAAAGGTGATCTGAGGACTAGCAGAATCCGCATCCCCAGAACATGTCAGAAATGTTTATTCTCAGGCTCCCCCCAGACTGACTCAGGAACTCTGAGAGTAGGGTCCAGCAATCTGTGCTTTCGAAAGCCCATCCCCCTCATTGCCCCAGGTGATTCAGATGCACACTAAAGTTTACAAACCATTCCTTTTATGCCATTATAAAATAATGACTTTAAGATGAGAGAGCATGTACATTTTAGGAGTGAACTTGTGAAGAAAGTAAGCCATTCAATTACCAAAAAGATCCATTTCTAGTAGTGGAATTCTGTAGTAGTGAATCTGCATAATAGACAGTAAGAGAGATTTACGCCTATTATGTGTTCAGTCTGAAAATCTGACCTATCAAACCCCTACTTAAAACTCTTCAGCTAGGCTCGGCAGTTGTGATGCCAGGTGGCGCCTGTGGCTCAGTGAGTAGGGCATCAGCCCCACATACCGAGGGTGGCGAGTTCAAACCTGGCCCTGGCCAAACTGCAACAAAAACATAGCTGGGCATTGTGGCGGGTGCCTGTAGTCCCAGCTACTCGGGAGGCTGAAGCAAGAGAATTGCCTAAGCCCAGGAGTTGGAGGTGCTGCGAGCTGTGTCACCACAGCACTCTACCAAGGGTGATAAAGTAAGACTCTGTCTCTACCAAAAAAAAAGAAAAGAGTTGTGATGCCACAGCACTCTACACAAGGGGACAGCTTGAGGCTCTGTCTCAAAAAAAAAAACAAAACAAAACAAAACTCTTTAGCAGCTCCTCCCTGCCTGTAAGATGAAGTCCCAAACCCCTGACCCTTATCATCCGCCTCTGGGCCATCTGACCTTGTTTCCTTCCTTGCTTTCCCTCTTACTCAGCCATGCCTCTCTGTCTGCGGGAGGTTTGTTTTATCCCAGGCCACAGACAGCAGGCCAGCATGAGAGTTGAAGTGACGGCTGTTACTTCTGAGGAGGCTTTTGGTGCCGTGGTTGTGTTCTGTCATGCTCTTTTTACCTTCGCCACAAATGAGATCAACATTATCCCAGGGAGATGCTCTTTCTTAAGCTTCAGTGGAGCCCAGAATGAAGATGGACGAGGAGAACTAAAACTGACCTACCCTGGACATGCAACATAAAGCAGGAAATGAGCTTTGGTTGTTGTAAGCCTTCGAGATTTGGGGGGTATCTGTTATTTAGCCCAAGCTGACCAAGACAGCATTTTTGGTCATTCCTCTCCATCTGGAATTTCTCACCCCTCTGCACTACCCTTCCTTTCAATTCCACCTCTCCTCTGTCTGCGTAAGAGACTCACTCATCCTTCTACACTCAGCTCAAGGATTACCTCCCAATCAACACCCAGGTATTGCTGATGACTCTCATCTTCAGGACCTCCTCTGGATGCTACAGACCTCTAACGATGTGCCCTGAACTATGCTACAAGCATTCTATTCATTAGTACTACCTTAGACCAATCTCTCTAAAAAATAATAACAATGAAATTAAAAATTCAACTCTTCCTTTTACAGAGCAAGAGAGACTGGCTTAGAAACAGCAAAGCAGCTTCCCCAAGTTTCCCAGCCAGGGGTCACATCCACAGCTCTCACCAGGAGGAGGTCTGCCTCTGAACTCAGCAGTCTTTGCCTGGCCACATAATCCACCCCACCACCACCGCCGCTGCCATCCCAGCAGCAAACCTTCAGATCCTCCAACTCCAGTGGAGAGAGTAAAAGCCTCCTAATCAACAGCTGAAAGGGCTGTTACATTAATTTGAAACTTGAAAGATTTGCATCTGGAAGTGGCTTTCTTAGCCCCAGAGAAGATAATCACTTTCTCTATGTGGTGTATTTATTCCGAAGCTCCTGGCAAAAGCACTGGAGACCCTAGAGCAGTGGTTCTCAACCTTCCTAATGCCCCGGCCCTTTAATACAGTTCCTGTGGGTCACAACCCACAGGTTGAGAACTGCTGCCATAGAAGCATTGGGGCGTTTGGTCTTTTCCTGAGGTCCCAGGTAGTATGATGTGATAAGACAGGCAGATTCCCACTGACATTACCCTAGAGAACCTAAGGGAAGATCCTTTTGGGTTTGTTACAGGGTAGAAGGCAAGTTATGGAGGATTCAGAACCCCAAGCAGGTCTGCTGCATTTGCTATTTAAAGTTTTTGTTTGTTTGTTTGGGTTTTTTTGAGACAGACTCTTACTATGTCACCCTCGGTAGAGTACCATAGATTCACAGTTCATAGCAACCTCCAACTCTTGGGATTAGCGATTCTCTTTCCTCAGCCTCCCAAGTAGCTGGGACTACAGGCACCCATCATGACCCCCAGACATTTTTGTTGTTGTTGTTGCAGTTGTCATTGTTGTTTAGCTGGCCCGGGCTGGGTTCAAACCCGCCAGCGTGGGTGCATGTGGCCAGCGCCATAACCACTGTGCTACGGGCACCAAGCCTTAAGGTAAGTTTTAAAAATAAAAATGAATGGGGCCAAATTTCTATTTGACTTTTCAGAATGAACAAATAAAGGAAAGTGACACAGTGGCAAAGAATTGAACCAGACCACCCAGGTCACACATGGGGGAAAGACTCCTAAAAAAAGTGATTGCCTAAAAGTAGCAACTGCAATTTTAGGTTTCTATGAGTTGTTGGCATTTGCTGGTGTGGTTGATTGAGCTCTCTGTCTCTCTCTTTCCTCTCCCTCCTCTCTCTTTCTAACTTGTTTGTTTAAGAGAGGACTAAAAAGTACAAAAACCTTCAAATTGAGAGGTTCTGGCATAGGACTTCTCACAAATAAGGCATACTAAAGAAAGATGGCAATTAACAAAGTATCATGATACTCTTTTCACATAACATTTATATTAATTTGTCCAAGGGTTACAAAGTTTATCTCAGTTACTAGTTAGATTTTATTTCTCTCTTTTACCTTTTCAATAATGGATCAGGTCTTTTTTTACACACACACACATCCCCCACCTCAGGATATATTACCTTTAAAATATACCATCAACATCACTAATAATAGCATTTTTTCCCCTTCCAATGCACAAAGCTATTCAGAGCTCCAGATGGTTGCTGGGCCAGTTTGGACACGTCCGATTTACTCATTTAAAGACCATCCACTCCCTATAATAAATAACAAGAGCCAGCATTTATTGAGTACTTAGCGCTGTGCTCGGTGTTTTTCGGGCCTTGGCTCATATAATCCTCAAAACAACGCTATCAGGCAAGTGCAATCACTATCACCAGGTTATACATCAGGAGAGTGAAGCCCAGGGAGCATGAAGGACCTGCGTGGGGGAGGGGAGGAGGGTGGGAGCAGGCAGAGGCCAGAAACTGCACAAAACCAGTTAATGATTCACTCTCAGCCCTCGGGCAGCTCTTTTCAGTAGGAGCTGCACCAGAACACACACACGCACACACACAGCCTCATCTTCAACTCTCTTCATCCCAGCCAGAGGCGGTGTCCGGCAAATTGCTTGGCAACGAGTGTAGGAAACTCCATCCAAAGCCCCGGGTCCAGGACACTTCTGGGCTCTGTCCAGCGGGCAGAACGCCTGAGAGACCAGGCTGGGGTCTTGTCTGCGACACCCCAAAGGTGGGGCGGAACGCCAAGGCCAAGATTTCTGGCACGGGGGCGGGGGGGAGGAGAAGACACTGTTGTCGCCCAGGGACACCTGTTGTCGCCTCCCTACTCCGGCCAATGAAGACGTTCTGGGTGACCTGGATCTAGGGGTAAGACACCGTTAGCAAGAAGTGTCTAGCACGGATACGGGGGTCACAGGTGTGCTCCCCTCATTCGCCTTAGGTAGACTCACCTCATCTTCTTCCACCCTCGGACGCCCGCCGCGTGTGGAAATGTCACACCTCCCCGTGGCTCCAGTCGAAGCAGGCTCGGGGCGCAAGGTGGCGCGGAGCAGCACGCGGCGCTAGGACCTCGCGGCCCGCCAGCCCCCCGCCCGCTCCACCTGCGGGGCCCCTCTCGGGGGGCGCACTCGCTCTCCTGCCTCCAGGGGCAGGGCGCAGTTACCTGTGACGCTCTCCGCTGGGTCCTGAGCGTTGGCCAGAAGGCGACCGCTGTAAAGGCGGTTCGTCCGGCCCGGGAATTCCTCAGTCCTCGGCCGCGCGGCTCCTGCCGCACTCCCTCCCAACCGCAGCACCGCCGCCAGCTCCCGGCTCTCGGGCTCACTCTGCGCCCGCCAGCTCCGGCGCCGCTCCCGCCGCTCTCGATTGGCCGCAGTGCGCGCCCAAGCCGCGCCCTGATTGGGCATCCGGGGCCGGTGGGCGGGGCGCCGCGGGGATCTGCTCCCTGAGCCTCCCGCGCCGCCGCCTCGCGTCCCCGCGGCGCTGGGCTGCCAGGTTCCGGGCGCAGAAACAGGAATCTTGTCCTCTCTGTACCGAGTGGAGCCGGCAGTCTACCAGCGTCGCTTCGAGTAAAACCGGAGTGGCGGGGAGACACTTGGAGTCCCACCCACGCCTCTTGCAGACTAGGCTGGTCGATGGAGACCTCCGAGGAACGGGAATCATTGCTCCCCTAGCCTCACGTTTACATAAGGCTTTCGCTTCAGGTTCATTTTTGACACTTTGTACGGTACAACGGGCATATGGTTCAGGGCAGTGGCTTGTAAACAGTGGGCACCAAATAGTTTTGTGGACTCAGATTGGACTACGCATACAATCTCTAAGTGGTCCTTCCGGAGCTTGTAGAGGGGGAGCGACTTGTCTAAGGTTATCTAATCATGTAAATAAATTGTTAGGAACACCACGCTACGTATTGTGGAGAGAGCGACAGACTGAACTCCTTATTTACAAAGAACTTAACACCTTGGTAGGAAGATGAGACTAAATAACCATAATAATGACCCTAACGGTTTTTTATGGCACATACTATTTGCTGGACACTGTTCTAAGGGCTTTACATATGTTAATTCAGAAGACACCTTTGCCTCATGAAACATGTGGCCAATTGACAACCGTTCTGAATCTGGAGAGCTTGCCATTTGAAAGACACACCAGCGCTCCACACTGTGGTGGAGAGGTACAAATTAGAACAGAAGGGATGGTAACAGTTGCATCCTCCATTTCTTCTCTCATAGTCCATTAGTCCTCCCAACATTTCTGCCCACCTGCACTGATTCTTTCTTAAAAAAAAAAAAAAAGCAAAGAAATAAAAAATAAGCAAGGAAATAAAACAAAACAAAAAAAGAATAGAAACAGCCACTATAAATTTGAGTGCCACCAGACCTTTACTCCATTACTCATGAAACACTCCCTGTAAACACCCTCAAATAAGCAATGAGTATAAGCAAACAGCACAGCTTATATGTTAGACTCTTGGCTTTGATTGCACTACTACCTTTTTATTTATTTTTTTTTTTTTGAGACAGAGCCTCAAGCTATTGCCCTGGGTAGAGTACTGTGACTCCACAGCTCACAGCAACCTACAATTCCTGGGCTTAAGCAATTCTCTTGCCTCAGCCTCCCAAGTAGCTGGGAC